AGAAAAGTGAACAAAATGTTTATCTTGCCATTGCTGTAAATTTGGCAGCAGTCTTGGTTCTATGAGGCTCTGGCCCAGGCTGATTAGGTATTCAGAATCTTGCTTGGTGTCTCTTTGGGATAAACAAACCCATGAGGGACATAGGATAGAACAACATTAAGGAAAGAAAAGGTCGATCCTGTGTGTGTGTGTGTGTGTGTGTGTGTGTGTGTGTGTGTACAGATAAAAAAGAAAATGGGAACCAGAGAGAATAAAACTTTCAGAAAACGAAGTTTCAGCACTAGGTTGTGAGTTCATTCCTAGGCGTCTAGGCTAAGATGGGCTCTGCAAGGGACTGACCAGTTGTAATAAACTGCTTCACCTCTATGAATCTCAATTTCCATATCTGATAAACAAGTCATTTGGTATAGATTGACAGATCTCAACCCTCACTGCACTTTAGAATTATCCAGGTAGATTTCAAAAATAATGCCAAGTCCCATCTCAGACCAATTGAACATATCCTTAGGTATAGGCCCCTGGCTCAGTATTAAAAATAAATCTTCAGGTGATTTTGATGTAGACCTGTGCTGGGAACCAGGGCCTAGATTATCCCTCATGCCTGTTGTGTGTCTGAAATTCTCTAAGAGATATGGGACTCAGTTGCTATACCCACTTCCCGTTCTTTGAGGCCCAGATTCAGAATTTTCATTACTCTGTGCCTTGTTTCCTCACCTACACAATGGGTAATGAACTCCTCAGTCTCCTCTTGATTCACAGGATGATATGGAAAAAAAATGTTATTCTGGTTTTTTTTTTTGTTTTTTTTTTTTTAATTATAGTCTGGACAGATGCTAAGCCATTTCTGCTGAAGGGTCTCCAATATCCAATCACGACTTATTAAGGAATGGGCTCTATACAAGTTTCCCCTATCTTGTCCAGTGTCATCTCTTGTAGTCTAAAACCTCCTATCGGCTTGCTAAAGGCCAAGTAGAATAGGATCTAGTCCTGGTTACCTAATGAAAAGCTGATTTCTTGTTAGAAACAAATTCAGCCCCTAGGTGGTACTACTTCCTTGGGCTTCTCTGTCTCCTCAGCAGTCCTTTCCATCAGTATGTACTGAAGAAATTGCTACTGTGCTGGGTTTTTGGTAATCAGAGTTAAATGAAGGCACTGTAGTGACATGAAAGACATACAAGATGCTTTCATAAAAACCAAAGGCTTGACTGAAGCCATCAATCCATCTACACTTTCCTGCACATTTGATTTTTCTTAGATTTTTCAGTTAATCATAAAAGTTAGGTTTTCAGATATTTCTCTTTATAACTTGTAGTTATTTAACAATTGGATTATCTCTGCTAATTACATGTCATGTACTCTTTTGAATGTATTCAATCACAAAGATATTTTTAACGATAGTCTATTTTCTGAGGAATGTAATTCTCAGTGTTTTGACCACTTTATGAAAACTATTTTCTTGGCTTCTGAGATTTTTCCTAAACTACTTCCATTCATATCCATGGAAAAAGGACTTGGACTCCAGAATTTTTTTTTGTAAATGGTTCAATGATTTACATATCTTCTAATGCTCTTTACATCTCTAATATCTTCAAGAGACCACTCATTCTGGGATACCACTCAGCCCACCTTGACCCACAATTTGGTTTACTGCAACCTATTCAAGTACTACTAGAACTTTATCAGTTAATTTTTTCTTAATATTTCAGGCATATTTTAAAGCAACTATAGACATAAGAAGTTTCAGAAGAGATCCTGTGTACTTTTCATCCAACTTCCTCAAATAGTGATATCTTATATAACTGTAGTACAATATTAAAACCAGAAAAATGACTTTGATAATGTGTATATATTTTGAAGATAAAATATGTTATGTACAAAGTTAGGTACACAGGATTTTTTTACTTAACATAATCAACATTACATATGTGTATTTTTCCTCACAAAGTAAACATTCCTTTTCTAAGTAATACCAACTTAATTATTTATGTGATCTATTACATAATACATTAACAACCATCTCTCAAAAACAAAATGAACAAAGCACCTCCAGAATGGTGCTGAGAAGAGTTTAAGAAATGTTTTTTCAGCCAGGCACAGTGGCTCATACCTGTAATTTCAGCACTTTGTGGGGAGGCCAAGGTGAGAGAATCATCTGAGGTCAGGGGTTTGAGAATAGCCTGGCCAACATGGCAAAAAACCATCTCTACTAAAAATACAATAATTAGCTGGGCATGATGGCACCTGCCTGTAATCCCAGCAACTCAGGAGGCTGAGGCAGGAGAATCACTTGAACATGGGAGGCAGAGATTACAGTGAACTAAGATCATGCCACTGCACTCCAGCCTGGGTGACAGAGCAAGATGCTGTCTCAAAAAAAAAAAGAATTTTGTTTTGTTCCACGTTATTTTTGTCCATAAGCTATATCCTGTTAAAAATATAGAGTCAAATTACAATGCATTTAAAAATCACATGGAATCCTTCCTCCCTATGTGATTTTATCCACCATTCCCTATATATTTTGGATCATTTGTCTCAGTTTGGTGTACTTTTTAGATACTGCTATTTGCCCTCTTTATCCAAACATTTTATTATTGTACATGGTCAAGCAGAGAGAAGAGTTGAGAGTATGTTACAATGAACACTCAGATAACTATATTCTACAGTTAACATTTTACTGTATTTACTTTATAACATACCTATTCATCCACTCATTTCTCTATCTACCCATTCATTTATTTTATGTTTTGTTATTGTATAAATGAGTCTTCAGTACAATTAATTGATACAACATTTAGCATTCATAAGTGGATTGTTTTTCTAAATATAAATTTGGTTTCATAATTAGGTAAAATATTGGCATGGTTCTAAAAACAAACACAGAGAAGTCTGGCTTCTATTGCTGTTCCTTTCCTTTTTCTTCTCTTTCTTATTGGTAACCATTACAAAATTTCATTTATCCTTCCACTGTTTTCATTTTAATATAAGTAGGTAGATATAAGTTTTATATACCCTCCAATTTTTCCCTCTTCTTCCTTGTCCCATATTACATGTAGAAGCCACTGATAAAAGCACACTTTACATCTTTACATGATATTCAACCAACCAACCCATAACTGTTTACTGAGTCCCTCTTACGTTCCCAGGGTACGGTGAATTGATGTTGTTAAAATAGTTTTAGGACTTTACCTGGTGCTCATCCAAACACACACACACACACTCTCTCGCTCTCTCTCACACACACACACATACACACACACTTATACACTCACAGACCTATAAACCATTGTAGATTCAGTTGCTAAGGAAAAGGATTTTGGTTCCGGTACCTGGAGTGGTGGGAAGGTTTCAATATTAATTAATGAGTAAATTTTGTTCAATAAAACCTAATTTCCTGACAACTTACTAACCAGCTGAGTAATTTAATTTCATTTGTGATGAATTTAGCCAAGAGGACTATAAATCTCTTATTCTCTTTGCCAAGAGTAACCAGTGGCTAAGGAGCAAATAGCTATCAGTTTACTAACAGTTACAGAACTGAGCCAAACAAAAAGCTTAGACTTGTCCAGTTAGAAGAACGTCTCCATGTTTTCTAATTAGTAGAGCTATGTCCTCAGATTTCTCATTTAGATTAATTCCATAAGTGGAGGCAAATCTCCCCTATAAGAAGCTCTGTGGCAGTCACAGGTAAGGAATTCAGAGGCCAGGTGAGCCTGAGTCACACCTTGTTTATGGGAAAAGTCACTAGTAGTTTCCGCTGGTTAAATGGAATAAGTATGTTGTTTGTTTAGTATCAACAAAATTTGAAAAGGTTGTTACTCCTGTGCTTTTCAGGTGTCATCTAAATGACTCCACTCCCCTGCCATGCCTCCCCACTCCCCCAAATCTCCATCATTGGTCAATCCCAGCTTTCAAGGGTTCGAGTAACTCAACCTGCCAATTCCATGGCCTGTAGTAGTAAATGCCTCCCCAGTATTTTTTAAAATTCTTGGTAGGAAGTGGCACATGGTGGCATGCACTTATGGTCCTAGCTGCTCAGGTGGCTAAGGAGGGAAGATCTCTTGAGGCCAGAATTTTAAGACTGCAGGGCGCTATGATTGTGCTTGTAAATAGCCACTGCACTCTCACCTGAGAAATATCACAAGACTCTGCCTCTAATAAATAAATAAAAATTATAAAAATTCTTGATCAGGTTTCCATTTCCATCGCTTCCTCTGCTTCAGGCCTTCTAATGCTGTCAAAATTGGATCTGCATTTTTCTATGTGAAACTCAACATAAAATATTTATCTGTTTTTGAGTATCACTAATAAAACACATTCAAAGAATTTGTGATCTTAGCAAAGCTCTTAATTATGACCTTAGATGTGTGATTTTAGGTGTGATCTCAGGTGTGAATACATGTCGAGCAATGTGTTTGGATCATGTAGATCCTTTGGGATTGCCAGGGGATGGACACATGTAAACAAAAATTTGAATTTGTTACCAGGTTACAGACTTGGCTCACTGGCCACCAGGTCTTGGCTATGTAGGGCCTTGGGAAATAGAACTCCAGCTAGAAAGCTGTAGAACTCCTGAAATTCTCTCCTTTCCAACTCTTGTCTTTGCTCATTTGTTTTGCTCTTAGATTTTGTTGCAGGTCAGTGACCCTGGTGACATGGAAGAGAAACTTTCCTTCTTTAGGTCTCCTTTGTTTGGGAGACTAAGGATGAAAACTGCCCATTGCAAAGGCAAAATTTTAAGGAAAATGATTCTTATTGTCTCAGCAGATGTAGGTGCCTAAAACAGCATTAATCAACCTTGATCAATGAATGCAGGGATGTGTTGTGGAAGAATAGATGCTCCTGTTGCAGACACATGGATTGAAGGGGAAAGAAGGAGGGGGTGGCCAGGCAGTAGAGGATGTGTCGTATCAAAGTATTTTTGTATTTTATCAGATTATACATTTTTGAAGGCAGCAATTGGGAGACTGTCGTCTCATTCTGAAATAATGGGATTCAGAAACTATGACTAAGTATAGACTGTTTGAGCCCAAAGCTTGTGGGTAACCACTCAGGAAACATAGACAACTAATATTTGGGGTCAGCTTTCAAAGTGGGGAAGTTAAGTTTTCACTTATACAGGCAGTAAACAGGGAGGCAGCATTTTCCATCTAAGGTGGGTACATACATTGTAGCAATTGGATTTGTTACTGTTTGTTACATTCCAGGAAAGATTGCTTTACCATTCCATTGGGAGGGATGATGCTCTCAGGGCATCTTCTGTCTGGTGCCACAAGGCCTTTCCTGATCATTTATGGGAAAAAGCAGAAGTTGCAGTTGCATAACTGAGGCCACACAGCTACATTCCTCTCAAGGCTCGAAGTAATGGAAAGTTCCAAGGGCTTTAAGTTTCAGTTTGCATTATTTAACTTCATAGTTATTCTATGTAGTTATAAGACCATCAAATGGGTAATGGTGACTTCTAGTCAAAACATAGGGTTCAGGTCAGCAGTCAGCCTCAGAGCCCTCACAGAGCACAGCAAGGTGTCACTTACTTCTCCCTTCAATTTGTGGATGAATCCAGTGAGACTGAAACTTTCCACAACCTGTACATTCTGGTGAATATGTCTCTTAGCCAATTTCTCTAAAGCATTGAGAAGATTTTCCCTGGAATAGGACCTTTTTTCTGTTTTCAAACCTTTTAAATAATGGATGATTGCTTTAAGATTTCCCATGATGTTCTTGGAAAGAGCCGTAGTGGTAATGAATCTCTTGCTTTTTGTGATCGTCAATGATCTTCATGCATAACACTTTCTGAAAAATGTCCTCAGCCTTTCTGTGGTGGCTCATTTCTGCATACATTTCAGCCAGGTCAACATAGCTCAACTCAAATGTGGGCTTTAACATTATAGTCTTTTCAAATTTGCATATAGCCAATCGAACCAATTTGTCCACATTTTCCCTATCTTGCCCTCTAGGCTGCCTGTTTGTAGCTTCCTTGATTTGGGTCATTTGTGCCTTGTAGCAAAGCCCCATTTGGTGATGCAGCAAGGCAGAAGTGGGTGTTGCCTGCAAGGCCATTTTTAAGAGCTGAAGAGCTTTATCCACAGAGCCTTTTCTTCAGTAAAACTTGGCTGCCTATCAAAAGACATAGGTCTATGAAGACATACTGGTCAGAGCTTCTTCAATGTACTTTTCTCCTTCAGCTTCCTGTCATTTATCTTGAAGCTTCAGGGCAAGGAGAACCTTAACATCATCTGGATTTATCTGACAGTGTGCAGAGAAAATGCCTCATTGCTTTCTGTTGCTGTGTTAAAGCCATCCAGGTGATGGACAGTGATTGCATACCCAGTACAGAATTCAGAGTTTTCAGGGTCCACTTCAAGAGCCTTTTTAAAGCAGGCCTTGGCCCATTCATATCGAATTCTTTCCTCCACACTTCAGCAAGGCCCATCCTTCCTCACAGTCTATCTCTGGACACTCCATTCTATAGCGGGAAGGATTTGCAAACTTCTTGCATGTGTTCTCCACCTTGTCCAGGTAAGTCTGGCCTTCTGCCAGTTTGCCCATGTGGTAATACACCCAGGAAAAATTGCCCCAGGTCACCAGACTTCTCACATCTTCTTGGTTAGTATGTTCTTTCTGGGTTAAGTCTTCAGCTTCTTTCAAGCTCTTCAGGGCTTCCTCATCCTGGCCTTTCAGGTGTTTCACATAGGGTAGTAGGTTGTGTATTCCCACGTTGTATTTGGTGTCCAGGAACTGAATCTCTTCCAAGATCTTGTTTTCTAAATTAGGAATTTCAGGGGTTTCAATTAACAACTTCCATGTAAAGTGACATCTCAGCTGAATCAAGCTGTCTTCAATGAGCTTTCCATCAGATTCTTCACTGTAAAAGTAGGCAGGAATTAATTATATTTTGGTAAAGTATTCAGTCTACTGAAAATGAAGCCAGCACTTCAAATAGTCAAATATCTTCTGTCCCAGGATCCCTGCCTCCTTTATCTGGTGCCTCTCTGGGTTCTATGGTCATGTCATTAGGAAAGAGAACAGGTTGACATAAAAACCCTGGGGACATGCTAATCATAGTGCCAACAGGTAGGTTACATGGAGTCTAAAAATCAACTCAAAAGAGATTAATTCTGCTAACATCAAAATAATCTCAGCACCACCCTCAACACTACAAAATCCATCTTGTTTCTGCTTCCTCCTGACTTTGCAGTGCATGACTAATGCTGACAGAAGTAATGTGGAGACAGGGTTCACAGAAAGGTGAGTTCCTTGCTCATCTTTTTCATGTTCTCAACACATAAACACATTTTGGGTTTCTCTCCTTCCATGAAGGGTTCTGAGTAAAATATGAGAGCCAAATATGGTGTCAAATGCTGAGCTTCATGCATGCTCAAGCCAGGTTGGAGAATGTGATAGGGTTTTCTATCTCCTTTGTCTTTGTGAAGTTACGCAACCAATCCTAAATAGAGGGGTTGAAAATGGGTGGAATCATCTCACAATGGCAGCCTAACTGCATGGGGACAGAAGGAGAGGGATGAATGAACATTACATAAGGTAAGATGTGTCTATTCGAAGAAATGGCAAGTTCCACTTTTATAAGTCTGTTCCTGATGTCAGGTAACCTTGAAGCCTAGTGGAGGACAGGTTATCAAAATCTCAGAGGACAGGCTATCAAAATCTCAACTACCCATGAGGAAGAGAAAATAATAGGAAGTCAGTGGGACCAGAAGGTTTTTTCCCCCCAAAATTTCACACTCCTCTGAAGTGGAGCTAAAGTCCTAGTCTTCCTATGAGAACACGAAGAAAGAAAAATAAATTTGTCCTTAGTAGTTGAAAAAGTGGTTCCCACATCGTATTTAAGTATATTTGCCTCTGTGGTCTCAACTAATTACCTTACATTTCTATACTTGACATGTGTTCTATCCATTAGGCCCAAGGAATGATCCCTAAGAGGACCCTGATGAAATTTTCTTTTACTCTGTATGTGGCAATGTATAGCAAAACAATTTTTATATAAATCCTAACTCAATATAACCATAATATTATATAATTGTCATCCAATTATAAAAAAACAATCTATGAAACATTCTTTGGTGAAAATAAAGGGAAATAAAAAGTTCATGGCCAGGTGCGGTGGCTCGCACCTATAATCCTAGCATTTTAGGAGGCTGAGGTAGGCAGATTGCCTGAGCTCAGGAGTTTGATTCTAGCTTGGGCAACAAGGTAAAACCCATCTGTACTGAAAACAAAAAATTAGCCAGTGTCATGGCACATGCCTGTAGTCCTGGCTACTCTAGAGGCTGAGGCACAAGAATTGCTTGAATCCAGAAGGTGGAGGTTGCAGTGAGCAGAGATCACATCACTGCACTCCAGGCTGGGCAACAGAGCCAGACTGTCTCAACAACAACAACAACAACAACAAAAAAAAAACAAAAAAAAGGAAAAGAAAAGGCTCACAAGATCATGAATAACACTACAAAGTTGGGCAGAGGATACTGAGGCTTATAATTGTCTCTTTGAGCACAGCTGGCAGCTCGATACAGCCCTTGCTTTTCCCTCAGAGTCTCCACCTCAAAAACTCCTACTCTTAGACCTTCCTTGACTGTATTCCTGCCCACAATCCCAGGCCACCTTTTCCAGCCTTGAGTCTATGGAAGATTATAGTCCTGGCACTGCCTGTTCTTGCTTTGGGGCAGGACTGTGTTGACTTTGAGGTGAGAAGTTTTAGAATCTTTCTTCCAGCTGTGGCCCAGGAAGGTTACCCAATAAAACTTGAGTGTGTGGTGCAGGGTCGGGGAGGGATGTGTGTGGGAGGTATGCTGGGTGAGGTGGGGTCAGGAGTAAGCAAAATCAATATTGTGTCTAAGAATGCTCACTGAAAATAGATTTTGGCTCTTACTGAGATTTTGACTCTCACTTCTAGAATTTCAAGTGCACAGCATGCACAGCCTTACAAGGCTGCCCTGCCAAGTTCCAGAAGAGAATTATTGCTCTTTCTTATAGGTGGTTGTTCATCAACATATATATTCTAGGCTTGGGCCCTGGGAAGACTGTAGAGTACAATATCATCCTAGAGGTGTCCTCGCTCTCTAAAATAGAAATGCTGAGAGCCTAAAGTCCTTTTACCTACTGAGCATATAGAAAGTGCTGTTATTAGTAGTATACATATTATCATCAAATTAGGCCCCAGCATGGCACTAATGCCTGTAATCCCAACACTTTGAGAGTCCACGGCAGGTGAATTGTTTGAGCTCAGGAGTTCAAGACCAGCATAACGAAACCCTATCTCTAAAAAGAAGTACAAAAATTAGCCAGGTCTAGGATGCACTCCTGTAGCCCCAGCTACTTGGGCTGAGGTGGGAGGATCACCTTAGCCTGGGGAGGTGGAGGCTGCAGTGAGCTGTGATCGTGCCACTGCACTCCAGCCTGGACGACTGAGGGAGGCCATGTCTCAAAACAAAATAAAACTAAACTAAACTAAAGATGAGTTTGTGCATTTGTGTAGTGACCTAATCCCTGTAGGCATGTGGCAGACAGGGACTTGTCACCATAGGTTGTCAGACATTTCCCTGGATCTTGTCCACTTAAGCTGTCTTCATCAATGAGCATGAATGGAAGGAGGAGCTCAATCTGCTCCTGTGTTCCTGAACCAGTGGGATCAGGAGTATTTTGATGTGGGCATCATTCAGTCTGGGATAGTCCAGAGCCCCTTCGACCACCTCAGGTCAGTGACTTCTAGGAACATAAGCACAGGCCATTGCAAAACCTCTTGCATGGACTAGCTACCAAGGGAGGAGGGAATGAAAGGCTTGCCTTCCGTCAACTTCACAGATGCAGACACAACTAGCATCTTATGACCAGGAGCCCATTATATTAAAAAGAGAGACGTGGGTACTCTTGTTGTGAGTTTTTTGGCAATCCTTCACTTGTAATTTCTTCTCAAGACAGGTCTACGTGTTTGCTGGACAGGGATCTCAGAAGAGGAGCCCCATTTCTCTGTAAGTTCTTCCTCTCCCACCTACGCCACCATCAGATGGGAGAACTCTAGCAGGTCAGAATCCTTTTAAGTAAAAACATTTTCTGCAGGTCACCAGTTCTAACTAAACCAGGAAAAAAGAAATATATATATTTTGGAACAAATATATCACAATGCCTATAAAATTTCTTATTTTCTCACATCTGGTATAGTGTTTTTTCAAATTGTAGCAGGCAACATGATCACCTGGAAGACTTATAACACACAAATTGATGGACCCCACCCTAGAGTTTTCGAGTCACCCGGTTTAGGGTAGGGCCAGAAAATTTGCATTTCTAACACCCTCTCAGTGATGCTGGTGCTGCTGGTTAGGAAACCACACTTTGAGAATAGTTAATTTAGTGAAAAGCAAATTTCATAGCAATCACAATTTCATAGTTTCACAGTAGTCATGAAATTTGACTTACTGTCAAAAATAAACAACAGAAAAATGGCCATATCTGAAAGTACCTTCTTATCCTTCCCACCTGAATTAACCACATTATAAAATAAAAAGAAAAATAGCTTCTTCTTCTCATCTGGATTCCTAAAAGGATCTCAGTGCTCTTGCCCTGACTGGTCCCCATGCCAGTCTCCTCTCTAGTCTCAGGCCTCTGTTCCCTGGTGAACAGTCTTTAAGTGTTGCCTGGGTAATTGTCCCTCCATTAGAAAGCGCTACACAAATGACATCTTTGGAAATAAGATCACTTTCTTGTTTATTTCCTTAAGAGCATTGCTGCTCTTATTAAGCCAGCTGCCCTTACTAAGCAAGCTCTGTAACAGGACAGTTAGGAAACTTGCCTCTGTACGTATGTTCTCATCTTGCCCCTCTGGATCTACTTTCCTACATGCTTCACTATGCTTTGTGCTTGGGAAGCTGACTCTACAGACTTTATTCATTCCAGAACTCTTCTGTTTTTTACTTTCTTCTGGGGTTGGCCCACTGGGGAGCACCAGCCAGATATTAGAGTCCAGGAGGAGGCGAAGGTCGTGGTATTAATTCCTAAGCTCCCATTGTGCTCTGCTTGAGGTTGTCAATGATTTTTTTTCACCAAAGGCCTCTTGAGAAGCCCCTCCCCTACAGCTATAGCTCAGAGTCTCCTTGGGCCTGGTTCTCACCTCTTGCTCCTGTAGGCCTATGGTTATCATGTTTTCACTGTTGTAAACCAAGGCACCTCCTCCTACCACACTGCAACCAACAGGCACCATCTCCTGTTGATTTCCCTAAACGTTGCCCATATCATCTTTTTAAAATTTATTTTTATTTATTTATTTATTTTTTATTGCATTTTAGGTTTTGGGGTACATGTGAAGAACATGCAAGATAGTTGCATAGGTACACACGTGGCAGTGTGATTTACTGCCTTCCTCCCCTTCACACACATTTGGCATTTCTCCCCATGGTATCCCTCCCCAGCTCCCCCCCAGCTGTCCCTCCCCTATTCCCCCCAACAGACCCCAGTGTGTAGTGCTCCCTCCCTGTGTCCATGTATTCTCATTGTTCAACACCCGCCTATGAGTGAGAACATGCGGTATTTCATTTTCTGTTCTTGTGTCAGTTTGCTGAGAATGATGTTCTCCAGGTTCATCCATGTCCCTACAAAGGACATGAACTCATCGTTTTTGATTGCTGCATAATATTCCATGGTGTATATGTGCCACAATAGCAAAGACCTGGAATCAACCCAAATGCCCATCGGTGATAGACTGGACAGGGAAAATGTGGCCCATATCATCTTAAATAGCCCCTTATTAAACTCTCCTCAGTTATCACGTTGAGGGTGCCTGTCAGGGTCAGAACCAGCAGTGGAACAGCTCCCTTAGGAGAAGGTCTTCCAAAGAATTGGCCATTAAGGAAAGTTTTAGAATTTCAAAGTGTGCAGAATTTCAAAGTGTTCAGTGAAGCAGAGAAAGCCTTTACCTCATGGTGCTGTGAAGATAGTAGGTGCTCTGTAGTGCTTTGGTTGAGGAGGCTCCTTCAAGATTTGTCCACAGAGTTCTAGGGCTTCTCAGATAAGTGCAGTGCTTATATATGGGAGGTATATCCAGGCAGTTTTTTACACCTTTGATGCCCAATGCATTTGCAGGGTGAAAATGACACTTAGAAAGAGAGGGCTGTCTCTGCTTTGATTACAAATATATGCTGCGTTTTGGCAGCTAAGAGGGTGTGTGTGAGAAACAGTTTTGATATGCAAATTAACTTTCTGGGGTCAATGTGGTTTAGGTGACAGAGGATAACTGGACTTTATGATGACATTCAGTGTTGTGGAAAAACCAGTGGCAGACAGGAAGGTACATTTTTGTGAATCATGTCAGACTATGTTGTCAAACTTGTCACTATCACATGTTTCCAGCCATGTGGTTCCAGGGACATCTGCAATGGAAGCTCCTTAGATCAGGGTCGGTGGTTTGTGCCTAAAAGAATACTGTAGAAGGTCATTGTCAATTTGTGGAACAATGAGGTTGCAGATGGTTAGGTCTTCTGCTGTGGGGTTGTGTTAGGCAAAATAACCCTTCTCAATTTTGAGATATTAGTCTGTAAGAAAGGTCCCATGCTGGTTACATCCTTCATCAGCATTTGTATTACTGGCAACCCTGACGATAGTGGAGCCTACTCAAGAATATTGACTATTTTGATGATCTTTACTGTTCACCATCAGTGGTTCAAACAACAATGTTTGAGCTGATCAGTAGAAAAACATATGCAGTGAAGTCAGAGAATGTGATGGGGTCAAGGGGGTTAAAATCTAAATCTAAATTCACATAGTTCTTCTGAATTTATGTGAAATTTATTATGTGAAATTTAAGAATTTATACAATAGTAGAATCTTCTGTTTCTACTGTTTTTGAGATTATCTGCTACAAAGCAACAACCATCAGAGAGCCAATCAAACACTATTCACATGTTTAATGAAAAATTTATATGATACCAAGGCTGGTGTAATTGCCCACATAATTAGCAGGGAAAAAGGAAAATCTGGAAAGCTGCTATTCTGAATCCTCTTGTGAAGCATTACAAGATCATTCTATAAGTTTCTGGATCTTGGTTTTGTAGGGGGAAGTGCACCAAGATAAACAAAAGGGCAAAGGCTGAGAGTGATTTCCCTTTGAGTGAGTATTTCAATATAGGGTTATTAACTTGATTACAGTTTTCTCATAATTACCAAATGAAACTGTAGCCTAGCTCTGTGTTTCTTCTTTGCCTGGGGCCCTAACTAGACTATATTTCCCAGGCTCCCATGTGGTAAGGCGTGGTCATGAGCATAGGATTGGAGGCTGTCAGGAAGCAGAAATGATTCTATAATTGGGTATCTTAAATTGTATCTGGAAAAAGAGAAGACTAGACCAAGGCTACAGATACAATTTGAAAGAAAGCAGCAGTCATGCATATTAGCCAGATTAGGGGGCTGCTTGATTATTTTTGAATCCAGTTGGACAATATTCATATTTTTGTCTGCATTCAGACATGGTTACAGAGTGGCCTTGTGTTTTGTCTTGACTCATCATGGTCACAGGGTGGCCTTGTTCGATGTTAATGTTCTGTGAAATTGTTTACATGCTACAGAGCACCAGACCAGCTCCCAGATGTCTGGGGCAGCCCTTCTCTTTCTTGTCAGGGAAATTCTGAATTACTGCTCCAGCAAACTGAGTTACTGCTCCGGTTACTGCTCCTGACCTTTCTAGAGCCAAAAATCATATTGACAAGAAAAATTATATTGCTCCAAGAAAAGGAGCAGCAGACAAGATTTTATGCATTCACAGTTCAAATGAGAGCAGATTTCTTGAGAAAATATACTTAAGAAGGAGTATAGTATATAATCTTTCCCTCTACGTGAATTAAATGCCCCTCTCCATATTTCTATTCAAGGAAGAATTTAGTTAACTTGAGATAGGCTACATTAGCATGAGACAAATTCCTAGAAGATTTTCCGGTCCTATTGACTTTTTTTTTTTTTTTTTAGATTGAGTCTCGCTGTATCACCCAGACTGGAGTACAGTGGAGGGATCTCTGCTCACTGCAACCTCCGCCTCCTGGGTTCAAGCAATTCTTGTGCCTCAGCCTCCAGAGTAGCTGGTGCTACAGGCATGATGGCCAGCTAGGTTTTTTGTATTTTTAATAGAGACAGGGTTTCACCATGTTGGCCATGCTGGTCTTGAACTCCTGACCTCAAGTGATGCTCCTGCGTTTGGCCTCCCAAAGTGCTGGGATTACAGGTGTGAGCCACCGCACCTGGCCCCTCTTGACATAAGCACAGGATATCATTTAGATCCATGTGTTCTTCCATAAACCCACCAAATCTCAACATTACTTAAGTAATGAGAATGCCCATTTTATTCCTTAAGTATACTCTAATAATAAAAGTTGATAGAAAAATTCTCTAAGCATAATGACAGCACAGAAATGGAGGCTAGAACCACCCAGGGAACGAGGGAAAGGAAACCAGGCTGACGTAGCCCTGCTGTGAAAGACTAAATTTGCTGAAAGGGAAGAATGATTGTTAGTCAAACATTGTTTCATTTGGGGTTGAGCAAACCTGGGCCATTAGAAAAAACCTTCTACACCTGTCAGGTGATGGACTCACCTGCTGGAGGGGGTTCCTCATAGACATTTGCCATCCTGTCTATTAAGATGGGCTATGAGCTCTGAGTACAAGATGATAGTGCTCCATCATAGAACAACCATTATTCTTTATTTGGGGCCAATGGGTTGTTTTCTTCTGAGGTTTCCTTTCTTCCTCTGCAGCTTGGGCACAATGAGAAATATTAACACCTTTACCTTTACTTGTCTTTGTGCACACAAGATGGTGTTGCTCAGTGGTGAAGGCCACCTAGAATCAGACAGCCTGGGGACATTAATGGACTTTGCTGCTTACTGTATGTGTGATCTTGGGATAGTTGTTTCACATTTTTAAGTCACATTTACTTATCCATAGAATCAGAATAGCAATAGGACTTTTGTCCTGGAGTTATGCTGAGATGAAGTGGGATATTGCATGGAAAGCATGTCTCATTTAACAACATTTAGTAATTGTGAGTGTTGCTTTCACAGTATGGGACAAGTCCCTTGCTGACCAATAGCTGGAGCCCTTCCCCCACTACAATTTCCCCCAGTGGGCACTGAGAGAAAGGTGTCATAACTGACTGTGCAGCTGCTGAGATAGGGGTGCTCTGTTCTGAGTTTCAGGCCAGGGCAATCTAGATATTCCCATCTCAGGCTCAGGTCAGGGAGCTCTGGCCACATCCAAGCATAGAGCCCAGCAGTGCCTCTTCGATAGCAGGCATTCAACCCCTTTCTAGCGAGGATGGACCTGCGTAGGGGAAGAAGAGATTTTGGAATGGGACTCATTTTCTCTCAGCTCTCTCTCTCCAGTGCTGTGTCAGATGGGAGGCTTCTAAGAGGCCAATTTTGTTTTTAGATACAAATATTTTCGGCAAGGCACTAGCCCTGACTCAACTCTGAAAGGGATATAAACATAGGCAAATACTGAAATGAACATTAGGAGAGCTGCTTACCCTGAGAGCAGTATGACTTTGGAATTTTCATGCATAAAATTATTGCTTAGTAACAGCGTGTCAGAGAAACAGAGTGACCGTTTGTCATGTGGTCACTGAATCTGGCAGCAGTCCTAGTTCTGTGAGGCTCTGGCTCAGCTGATTAGGTATTTGGTTTCTCGCTCAGTGTGTCCTTGGATGAGATAAACAGAGCCATAAACCACACAGGACAGAGCAGCAATAAGAAAACAACCAACACAGTGTGTGTGTGGGGGGGTGGGGGGTGGGGGGAGAGAGAGGGAAGGAGGGAGAGAGAGAGAGTGAGTGAGTGAGTCTACAAATGGGAAAAAACAATGGAAACTAGAGAGGGAAACTCACTTCTAACAGGCAGGATGCCTACTTGTGGACATGAAACTTAAACATTGGAGAAATTAAACTTAACCACTATCAACATTCCAGGACCCGCTCTGTGGGTCGACTGACTAGCTGAGTGAACATGGTTTCACTTAAACACTGAATTGCCTCAACAGGTATAGAAAAAGGTTGGCCTTGAACAGTGCAGCAATGCAGTGAAAGGTTGGCTGCAAATTAGAAAATTCCTTGGAAATATTTAAAAAACCCAGATGTCTGAGCCAATCTCCAGCCTAATCAATCAGAATCTCTGGAATTGAAGCCCAGGCATGAGTATTATCAGTAAGTTTTCTGAAAAAAGTAATCCCAAAGTGGTTTTTTGTGCATGGTTTAAAACCAATAGACTAGATTTTTGCTACTCAGGATATGGTCTATGGACCAGTGGGGTCATCATCTACTAAAAGCCTAGAAAATGCAGAATGCCAGGTCCCTCCACAGATCTCCTGAGTGAGAACTTGCCATTTAACATGCCCAGATGATTTGTTGGTACATTAAAGTTTGAGAGATACTTTTCCAAATGATCCCTGGAGCCCTTTCAGGTCTAAATGCTTTGAATCAGGGACTCATTCCTAATAAACACCTATTGTTCTATGAGGCTCTGAGTCTAGAACTTCATTCTTCTGTGCTTTGGTTTCCCCATGTGCACCTTAAGAATCCACGCAATACCAGAAAGGAGGCTGGTCAAAGTGCATTGGCCTCTGCACTTTGACCAGCCTCCTTTCTGCTATTGAGTGTCTGATGTTTGCTTTTGAGACTGCTCATGTTTGCAAACTTGCACCAATTATGTCCACAGAGAAAATACTCAGCTACTAGGAACTTCTTTGCTCTGAAAGTCCCAGTAATCTTCATATCACCTCAGGGGTCTTAGTGGCTATCTTTGGGCTACTATGATTTACTTTTCTGGCTGACTCCCACATGTTCCAGTTCTAACTGAACTTCTGTGCTTTCATTGTTTTATGTGTTAAACATTCATTCACCTGGAATTGTCTATATAAATTGTAGGAAACATTTACATCATTAAACTAGATATTGCATAGATCCTAGCTGTCTATTGGAAAAATCCTCAGGATCCTGGAAAGCAAGTTGTTTCTAGACTGTCTGAAGTACCTGGGGACTTGGAAAGTCCATGTCTATAAAGGAATGAGAAGAGGTGAAGAGGTTTTCTAGTTGCAATTGAAATTTAGGATTATAAATTGAGCTGGAAATAAAAAAGTTCTAACACTTGTGCCATCCCCATGGTTCTGGGAAACCCACAGACATTTAAGGAAACTGTGATCCAAACTCATTGTTAGCATGTCCAAGGCAGACTTCATTGCTCTAAGCTCCTTGATCATTTCTAAAGTTAGCAAACTATGAATTTTCATTAGGTACAGGCTAGGTACTATATCGGGACATTGTAGGGCATGTTTCTAATTCTCAAGTGACCTGTCATGTAGCAGGAGACAGACTGATAAGCACTTAATTTGCTTTTAATAAAAGCAGTACACGTTGGGTTGCTCTGCAATAACAGAGGATTGAATGTTCATCACTTCCTGAGGTTCATGAAAAAGTTCCTCGGTTAACTTTTGGTTTTTAACCTGAAGTGTTTGGCAAATCATAGTTCTGTTGGCTCCCCTACTGGGAGAATACTCCCAAGACTGTCTAGTCTGTGAGCAGGCCTGACCCCAAAGGGGTATTCTGATCCATTTGTGCTAAAGCTATCATAATTTAGGCCTAACACACAAATGTAATGTAGCCAAAGACTTGTGAGGTGTGGTGCTTATGGATTATACATAGAAGTGTAGCCAGAGTTTACAATAGGGTTACTGGGAAAGATTTCTGAATAACTCTGTACTAGTGGAATGTGAATTCACAAGTTCACCACACTGTATTTCTTCCCTCCTTTCCTCCGGGTCGTGTTCCCCTAAGAACGCACTAATATGCAGCCCAACATTAAGACAGTGAATCAACGACACTTCAAAATAAACTTGGTTTAATATATTCTTCCCAGGGCTTTGACAGGCCAAGGCAGGAGGATTGCTTAAGGCGAGGAGTTTGAGACCAGACTGGGCAATATTGTGAGACCTGACTCTACAAAAAATTTAAAAAAATCAGCCTGGCATGATTTTTGCATGTGTGTGAGTTTATATGTTTGTGTGTAGTTAAAGTGATGCTCTGGGGCATATCTTTCTCTGCCTACTTTGGATTCTTCCAAGTTTTTTCCTCCATCTTTGTGATGCACAGCTGTAGTATTAACTAACTGGAAGGCTGGGGTGGAAGGATTGCTTGAGCCCGAGTTCGAGGCTGCATTGAGCTATGATCATGCCACTGCAGTCCAGCTTGGGTGACAGAGCGAAGTGCTGAGAAAAAAAATGTTTCTGTTTCTGGCACAAAGAAAGTTCGTGCTGTACTGAAATGCCTCTGTAAGCAGTAATCACCCAAACACTCAAACACTCAAAACCCACAATCACAGTTCTCTCACATGTAGTAGGTGCTGGTTACTAGGGAAACCAGCTGTGGTTTTCAGCACCAGGGATGGTGAGAAGGTCACTATGTGAGATAATGCAATTTAACTTCCAGTAAATTTTCTATGCAACTTTTAACCAAGAAGGAACAATATGTCCTTTGATTTATATATGCCTAGATGAGCCAATAATGGGAAACAATACCCATGTTGTTTACAAGAATAGTAAGTGGTTTAGAAACAATTGCAGGACGGAGCTAGAAGCAAGACGCTTAGAGCTGTCTGATTGGAGAAATGTCTTTACAATCTCTAATCAGCAGATCTCTCTCTCTGTCTTTAAATTTTATCTTTAGCCGTGTTCCAGAAGGAAAATCAAATCTGCTCCCTGCACAGAGCTCTGCAGTGGTAGTAGGTAAGGAGTTCAAAGAGAGGCCAGGAGAGCGCCTTAGAAACCCCTTGATGGTACACATGCACTGGTAACGTTCTTTTGAATTAAACTAATAAATCTCCTCACCAAAACTAGAAAGGAATTCTTCATGCATGTCAGCTACGTGAGGGCCTCCATATCCCTTCCCAGCCCTTAAATTTCTGTGACGTGTGTTGACACTCTCCGATTCTGTGCAATTCATGGAAAGCTAAATGCTTCCCTGATGTGTCTTTTATTTGTAGGTAGAGGTTATGGAGTGAGATTGGCGTCCTTGGACGAAACAAACACCCAGTCCTCTTCAGGAAGGCCAGCTCCATCTGTTACCACCTTCTGGATGGCTTTGCCCACCAGCCCAGAGCCCCCTGTCACTAGAATCCACATGGACCCCTGGGGTTCACCCACGTCAACTGCACCTGCATCCTGCCCCACCTCCGACTTCCTGACAGCGACTTCCAGCCCGGTATGCTCCGTCTTTTCTCGCATGTACACTCTCACATGTACCACCTCTAGTCTCTATGGTGTTTGTGCAAATTGGAAAAGAGTGCCCTTTTCTGTGAGTATATGTGTCTCTTGCCAGGACATTTATATTGGAGAGCCAAATGTAGACTGGGTTTCATTCTCCTCCCTTGCCCCTTTGGCTAGTGAATAATCTGAACAATAATGCTTGGCTGCCTTGGCAACAAGCAGGAGAGATTTTTCTTTTGTGTTGATTATGACTGTGCACTCCCTGACATGGGCCATCTTTTTCCCATCTAGATTGTGAGCCACGGGCATATTCTGGGGTGAAATGTTATTAAGCAGTTGTTACTCTCTAAATAGATACTAAGCATTTAAAATCCTCCA